AGGCCTGCAAGGAAGGCGGGGAACGTTGGTTTCCTCCGTCACTGAAGCAAGCAAGCCTCATGTTAGATTCAAGCTGCCTGGCTGCAGGCCGCCATCTTGGCTGGCAGTTCATTTGCATATCGCCCTGATTAGCCAATGGGATGGGTAGCGGACGTACGCTAATTACCATTTTTCTCTTTTATTAGATAGGATGGGAGCTGGATTTTATTGAATACTTTTTCTGCCTCTCTTGATATGATCATATTTTTATACTTCATTTTGCTTATGTGATGTATCACATTTATTGATTTTTGAATCTTGTACCAATCTCATTCCTAGGATAAATTCCACTTGATTACTGTGTATGATCTTTTTAATGTATTTCTGAATCTGAATTGCTAATATTTTGTTGGAAAATTTAGTATGTACTTTCACAAGGGACATTGGACTATAATTTTCTTTCTTTGTAGTGTCTTTATCTGGTTTTGGAATCAGGGTAATGTTGGTCTTTTCAAAAGAGCTTGAAAATCTTCCCTTCTCTTGAATTTTTTGGAATGGTTTGGGAAGGATAAGTATTAGTTCTTCTTGAATGTTTTATTTTTTTTAAAAATATATATTTTATTGATTTTTTTACAGAGAGGAAGGTGAGGGACAGAGTCAGAAACATCGATGAGAGTTGAAACATCACTTATCTGCCTCCTGCACACCCGCTACTGGGGATGGGCCTGCAACCAAGGTACATGCCCTTGACAGGAATCGGACCTGTGACCATACAGTTCCCAGGCCAATGCTCTATCCACTGAGCCAAACCGATCAGGGCTTGAATGTTTTATAAAATTCACCTGTGAAGCCATCCAGTCTAGTGCTTTTTTTCCCTGGGAGTTTTAGTTATTGTTTCTGTTTGTTTGTTTTTTTAGTTATTGTTTCTGTTTGTTTGCTTGTTTCTTTGTGGGTGTTTTTTTTTAACTGCTTCAATTTCATTAGTTGTAATCAGTATATTCGAGTTTCCTGATTCTTCCTGATTCAGTTTTGGAAGATTGTATGTTTCTAGGAATTTGTTCATTTCTCCCAGGTTGCCCAACTTGTTGCCAGATAGTTGTTGGTAATATTTTCTTAAAATCCTTTGCATTTCTTTGGTGTCAGTTGTTACTTCGCTTTCATTTCTGATTTTATTTATTTGAATCTTCTCTCTTTTTTCTTGATGAGTATGGCTAAAGGTTTGTCCATCTTGTTTATCGTTTCAAAGAATCAGCTCTTGGTTTTATTGATCTTTTGGGTTTTGTTTGTTTGTTTTGTTTTGTTTTTTAGTTTCTATGTCATTTATTGCTCCTATAGTCTTTATTATTTTATTTCTTCTACTTACTCTGTGGTTTTTGTCCTTTCTTTTAGTTCATTTAGGTATAGGGTTAGATTAATTTTTTCGAGTTTTTCTTGTTTCTTAAGGTAGGCCTGTAATGCTCTGAGCATTTCTGTTAGGGTTGCCTTCATTGTGTCCCATAGATTTTGGATTGTTTTGTGCTCATTTTCTTCTTCTTTTTTAAAATATATTTTTATTGATTTAAGAGAGGAAGGGAGAGGGGGAAGAGAGATAG